GTTTTAAATATGGATTTTGCATGAACATCGACTTTTCCCTGAGCTGTGACTTTAATGTTGCTCATCCTGTTAATGAATATCTCATTGATGTGTGAACCTTTTGTTATGAAAATTTGCCTGGATTAAGAAAGATCCCTTCCTTTCCAATGGGCTATTAAACTCATCTCGGTCATTACTGGTTGTTCTGTGCGCTTTCCTTTTGAATGTTGTTCTCATTTCCCACGAATTTTGGTCATTTCTCCATCATCTATTGCTAGTTTTCCCTGAAATTACTTTCATTGAGTCTATTTGGGAGGCATTTACATTCCCTATTATAAACACAACTTTGAATTTTGCATCGGTTCCTACGGAATCCTTGTTCTGTGGTACTTCCAAGCTCAGCTACATGTTGTCAGAGACCAGATTCGAGACGAAGGAATGTCTCTGTAGCGGAGGGCTTCGGCCTCAGCGACTTCTGCCAAGAGCGCTGTGCCTAGTGACACGTCCGTGCCCTAACTTACTGACTGGCAATTAGAACCTAGGGGGGTAACTCTAGTTGATTTTACTACTGGGGTGTAACCTATGTACAAGTGGGATATATATATGGTTACAGCGGAGACGGGTCCGCAATTGGCGGAGCCGAACGGAGCGGAGCTAACGGGGTTTAAACATTAGCCGACTGAATATTACCGATGAGTCGGTTCGCAGGGTTAGCGGAAAGGCAGGCGATAACCCAGAAACGGAAAGGAGGGGTAGGCCCGAAGGTGGGCTCTGCAGGGCAGGCGAGTGTATTGCCCAGCGGAGGCGGGGGTGTGCTAGCGGACGTCGGAGCTTGTCATATCCGTGCATACCCGACCCCGACCCGACTTCCGGACCTCCACCCTCTTCACCTCCGGAGTCATAACCTACCGCTGCCGTTCCGATACTCACCTTCGGTCCTGGCAACACACCTCCTCCTACTACTCCGCTCCCCCTTCACAACACCTCCACCCTCCCGTTATCCTCCTACGCTTCCCCCGTCCGCTCCGATACTCACCTTCGGACCTGACTACTCTCCTTTCCGCCACTCTCTCCTCCCTCCGTTACTCCTCCACCACCCTTCCGCCAAGTTACGACCTTCTACCGTTGTTCCGTACTTCGCACTCGGACACTGCTCGTACCTTACTCCGAGCCTCCGTCATAGTCCCTACCTCGGACTTTGACTCCACCTCGGCCTTAGTCCATTGCATTGGTGACCTCATACTACGTAAACACCATTGCCAATATTCCTCGGACTTCCAACCCCGCCTCCGTAACCTCCGTAAGCTCCACAACCCCCGAGCTTCGCGGACCGCCTTCGGCGCTCTCGCCGCCTGTAATGTATTTCTCGCATTTTCCCTTCATCCCTATTTGGACTACTGCTTCCTTCTATTCTAGCCAGTTAGTCATCATCCCCACTTCCCCTCATCCTCCTGCCCCTCTGGGCCTCGCCCTCTCTACCTCCTTTCGGACGTATCACAGGTCTTGCCCTATGACCTTCGGTACCGCTCCGCTCCCTCTACCCTTTGTTCCCGTTCGGACGTCTTCGTTCCGATTCGGTCACCCTTTGTTCTCTTTGTGCTTTTGCCCCTTCCATTATATATATCGGCGCTTGTACATACTCGTCTTGGTTTCAGTCCGAAATCGACCTGAAATGCCCCCAAGAGACTTCCTGCTCACCTACTGTGAAATTAAGGACCAAATGGACAAACAGCAATGGCACAGCGCTCCGCTTGAGTCGCTGAGGCCAAGGTCCCTCCACGCTAAGTCTCCGATTCCACTCCGGAGTCGTCCGTTTCCGCCCATTCTAACAGAGCTGTCCGGAAGTCCTCGGGGCTCCGTACTTAGGGAGGCATAGGTAATAAATTGAAATGAGGGGGTGGTGACCATCGAGGGGTACCAAGAGGATTGCGGAATACGGGGGCTCCGAGGTTAGTGAGGGAGGAGTGGAGTTAGACCAGAGGGATCGGAGGGACCGGAAGTCAATGGCCAGGGATGGATATGACACATGTGTGGGCATGGGAAAGTAGTTTCCGTGGAGGTTCTCTGGTTGATTTTATAGTCAAATCTTCCTCAATTGACCTAGTTCCTTGTGTGATATTCGCTATAAATTCTCCCAAGCATTCCGTCTTGTTGATGCTAAGCTTGAAGTATTTTTATTAATTTTCTTTCTTCCTATTTATCGTATGTAGTTGTAATAATTTGTTAAAATTCGTTAAAATTCAGGTGATTCTATTTCCTCATGTCTACTTGTTGTATGGGGGTTTTTGTGATTTATCTGGCATATTTCTATAATGAGTTTTCATAGGGTGACTGTTATTTCTCCTACAGCACCCACTTCATCGAGTCCACAGCTCAACAATGTAGCCCAGGTGTCAGGGACAGCTCTGAAAGTGGAAAAGTCCAGGTGCAAGGGACTCGGTGGGACAGGTGTTGGCTATGCATAGCAGCAGTCCCATCATGGAGTGAGCATCCCCAACCACTTAGTCTGAAGTGGGAAGTTGAGAAGAAGGCTGCTTCTTCTGTTCCCACCCCAGGTGCTATTATATACATGCAGGTAGGGTCACATGGGGGGAGCCACATCATCTCCGCACACAGCCACACCTCTCTGGGTGTCTCTGTGGGAGCTCCTGGAGGTGTGCCACTCTGTAGGCAGGAATGCACACAGTGGGTGCGGCAATCAGGGGAGCGGGATTAGGTGTGTAGTGATACATAGAAAAAAGGGAAGTCGACTGTGGAACAGAAATAGAGAGAAAGAAGAAAAGGGAAAGGAGGAATGGGGAGTGATCGCAGGGGAAGTGGAGTAGGGCAGGGTGGTGTGGGATGGGGCATGGGGTCAGGTGGGGTGTGCCCTGACACCAGGCTACATCATCACATCCAACACAGCAATTGGATGTCCAGATGAAGAAAACCCTCCTCCAGGGAAATAACTCTACCCTCAAAGAAAGGGAAAGTGACATGGTAATATGCCATTGAGGTGCCCATGAAAACACCTTCCTCCAACTTGAGGCCCCACACACAAAATTGTATGCAAGGAACTGCAAGTAACAATTGCAGAAACTTCTACTCCATCTCACCTCCACCACTGCCCATGTGTAAACACCAATTACACATGACACCTCACAGAACCAGTGAGGAGGAATACCAAAGATATATAATTTTTGGATCAAAATCTATTTTTGAAACTTTCTCCTTCTTCTATTTCCCTCCCATCCCCTTTTCCCACGATATCTGTGTATTGCCGTTTACTTCAGAGTAATGGCCCCACACTCCTTACTCCTTCCTCCCTTTCTTATTTCTCATTCTTTTCCTAAATGTACACATTGTCAGGAACGTGTCAGACGCGTATCCAGGTGACCCGCAAGGCACGTGAAGTCGTCCAGGCTCATAAGGTTGGAGGGGTGGGACTTTAGCTTCAGCGACTCGGGTGGAGCGCTGTGCTTCGTTCTTACATTGGTGTCCCAATTTCAGACAGAAGCCTTACGATGAGTCTAGAGGGGGAATCCAAGTCGATATACGAACTGAGGTACATCCGGTGTAACCTACATGCGTTATAAACACAAGTAACTAAATAAGACCGGCCCGGAAGGAGTGGCGGATCAAGCGCAATATTAATGAATGAAGAAAGAGACAAATAGTTAATATTGGCAAACTTGGTCAACAAAAGGCAAGCAAGAAACAAAAGGAGGAACAATAGTCTGCAAGTGGACAAAAGAGAAAAGGCCATCCGGCCGTCTAGCAAGCCGTCTGGCTGGTGGGCAGACAACAACGAAGCAGGCAACCTAGGTTGGAAGGTATGCACATGGGGGAGGAAGTGCGGATGAGGGTGACGGGTGGATGGATGGATGGATGGATGATGATGATAGCGGGCTGGATGGGCCAAGTGGCACTAGGACGTGTTGACGGAAGTGATGGATATGTCGGGTCGTGACACACATCACCCACTTTAAAGTGGTGATACCAAACTTTCATTGAAAAATGCTTATACTTTGAATTCCTTTTTTTTTCTTAAACCATGTATGCATTGCATATGCAATGCAAAGGGGGAGAATGTCAGGGCAATAGCCCTGAACCCCGAGTCTTATGTAACAAAGGTGTACTTAGAGTCACATGGTTAAGCAGCAACTTCTGGTTACCACTTAAACACTACCATAAATTACACACTTATGGACTGGTGTGCTGAGCGATGTAAGCGTGCTAGGGATGTAACCCAGCAGCAAACAAGAAAAGAAAAAGGGTGGCAAAGAAAATCTTACTACCGGTAAGGCTGCACACGGTCCTGGTGCAAGTGCACAATACTAATAAATTCTCTTAAACTCAAAACTCACCCTGGTCCTTCTTGGACAGTCGTCAAGGAGTCAAACTAAGCTCTTTAAACGTGTGGAAGGGTCGCTCAACACCGCAGTCTTTGTAGCACAGAAGAGGGGTCCAACAACTGTAAGTACAACACAAATTGGGTGTATATATAGAAAAAAAGAGAAATCAGAACAAAAAACAAGGAAAATAGCCGATAGATGGTGGCAATGGAAACAGGAAGAATGTTGAGAACTCGGCTAAGAAACAATAAGGCAAAAAAAATGTCCACAAGGTAACAATAAAATCAATAATTGAGGCCCATCAGGCCAATATCAACCATCAATCTCGCTTCTCCACCCCATATCCGTCATCCTAACTCCCGTCCCGTCATTCCATCCTCTTCTCCTGATTCGTCGTTGTCCTTCAAGCTCAAAATCGTGTGAATTGGTGGAAAATTGGTGGAGATATGGGGGAAATGGTGGATATCCGTGAATTTTGGGGATAACTGACTAGAATGGGAAGAAGCAGCAGTCCAAATAAGGATGAGGGGAAAACGCGAAAGATACATTACAAGCAGCGAAAGCGCTGAGTATGATCTGTGGAGCTTGGGGGTTATGGAGCTTACGGAGCTTACGGAGGCGGGGTTGAAAGTCCGAGGAATATTGGCAATGGTGTTTACGTAGTATGAGGTCACCAATGCAATGGACTTAAGCCGAGGTGGAGTCAAAGTCCGAGGTTGGAACTATGACGGAATCTTGGAGCGAAGGTACAAGTGGTGTCTGAGTACAGGGTAAGGGACAGCGGCGGAAGGTCGTAACTTGGCGGAGGGTTGGCAGGAGAGGGTCAGAGGAAGGAGAGAGAAGAGAGGAAAGGGGAGAGGAGTGGAGGAGAGGAAAGGTGTCAGGTCCGAAGGTGAGTATCGGAGTGGACAGGAGAAGGGTAGGAGAGTGATGGAAGGGTGGAGGTGTTGTGAGGAGTAAGAGGAGGAGTAAGAGGAGGAGGGTGGCGAGAGGGGTGGTGTTCGGTCCGAGGTGAGTATCGGAGCGGACAAGGATAAGGTAGGAGAAGGACGGAAGGGTGGAGGTGGCATGAGGGGTAAGAGGAGGAGCGATGTCAGGTCCGAAGGTGAATATCGGAATGGACAGCGGTAGGGTAGGACTCCAGAGGTGGTGAAGATGGGGGTCTGGGAGTCGGATCGAGATCGGGTATGTACGGATATGACAGAGACTTCCCCTCTGCTAGATCCGAAATTAGGGACCCCCAGGACAACCAGCAATGGCACAGCGCTCCACATGAGTCACTGAGGCTGAGGTCCTTCCATGCTAAGTCTCTGATTCTGTAAGGAGTGGTAACCCCACCCCTTAATTCCTATCTTCATTCTATATGTGTCTCATAATAAACATGTATAAACAATGTATATACAATAGTGTGGGAATTTGGGAAAAGGAACAGAACTCCTTTTCCTCCCCATCGTTGATAATTAAAGCTCCATACAGCTCAACTCTATTGACGACCTGAGGATTGAGGAGAACTGGGGTTGGAACCTACACCAACCCCTTACAGATTCCATTCCAGAGTCGTCTGAATCCACCATATCTAACAGGCATGCCCTGACACCGACTGAATGGAAAGATGTGGATAGCTCTGAAACCGGAGTTACTCATCTGAGGAATATTGGGTGACTCCAATAAATGAAATGGGTAGAAAAAGGGTTTGAAAGTATATAACAAAATGTCCAGAATCCATCAGGGGGTTGGAGCAGTCTGGGGATTCCAAAGGTTCCAACTTGGGTCTGAACACCAGGGGTGGAGATGGCTGATGGTGACTGCTGAGGTCCACAGAGCTGAGACAGTGGGAGTGGAGGTGGAGTGGGACTGTAAGGGGAAATGAGGAAGGTGATGGTGAGGTTGTAAGGAGTGTTGTAGAGGGGTGTGGAAGTGCAGGGTCAGGATTCTGGGATATGACAGTAAGAAAGTGTATAAAGGAAAGGCAAGTAAGATACACTTGCCTACTGTGGGTAAGGAAGTGAGAAGAAGGTTAACTTCTGGAGATATCTGGAAGTCACATGAGGAATGGGAACTGGGGCCTGGAGCATGTGGTGTATGGAGTGTGCAGGGTGGAGTGCACATGTGGGTCCGGATGCAGGCTAGTCAGGGTGTGTGCCCTGACACAATGTGTCAGGGTTCAGCACCCTGCCTTAGGGTGCCCCAGACTCCCCACCTACTTACTCCCTTTATTCTTTGATTGTTGCCTTGTTGTTGCCTTTGTGTGTTGTGTACATGCACACAGGGGATAGCGTGGGAACTTTCTGAGCAAGCAGCTCACCCAGAATGTTCCCACGCTTACTGGGCACTGCCACCTGGATGTCCCCTCTGGGTCACACTACACAACTCTAGGAGCTGTATAGTTGTGGGCATGTGACCCATTCCTTTATATAGCAACCATGTGGGGAGATGAGACCTTTACCCTTCTTCTCATCTCATGCCCTGCATAGTGTGAGGATAGTGTCATATCCCGGAATCCCGACCCCGCACTCTCCCACCTCACCACACCTTCCTAACAACCTCACCATCCCCTACACCATACCTCCCCACTTCCCAACATCACCTTCCTTCCCAACTGTCTCAGCTCCAGCCAGGATTTCGGCACACTTGCCCTTGGCCACTCCCATCCCAGAAGCTCGGTCCTGAGTCGGAACATTTGGAGCCTCCGGATTTGCTCCGACCTCCCAACGGATCTCCAACATCTTGTGACTTACTTCTAAACCATTCCTGCTCCCATTTCATTTAGTGGAGTCACCCAACATCCTTCAGATATGTAACTCTGGCTTCGGAGCTAACCGCATCCTCCGTTGATCCTGCTCACATCATCATAAATTAGTCACCTCCCATTTATATTACAACTGTTGTCTTCTTTCCATTCATTCGGCTAACTTCCCCTTACCCATTTCTCATCCCCATTTATCCTCCAGCCCTCTACTCCAGCCTCCTCAACCTGACACCTCGGTTCCCCCTTAAGGATATTGTTCAGGACCTGACAGTACCTTTTGGTATCATTTGGTACCTTTCGGTGTTTGTCAGTATCACTTGGACTTTGACTAAAGTCCTTCTCCTCCCCCCTCTATATATACCTGTAGATTAGAACCCATTGTACCTCAGTTCTAATCTTGACTAAAATTTACCCCAAGTCCCTCTATGAGTGAATCCTGACCTCCTCCTACAAGATACCTCAGACATATGAAATAAAAGGACTAACTGAGACGTAATGGAGGCAGAGTGCTCCCTCCAAGTTGCTGAGGCCATGTCCTTCTTAGAGCCTCTTGTACCACCCAGCAGACTTGGGCTTCCTGGAGAAGCTTCAGTTCACTACTGGAGCTCTTGGAACCCCTCTAGTTGAGCCCTGCCTGCATTCGGACTCTTGCACGTTACTTTTGTTTGGGGTTTTTGACAGATAGGTTAGATGGGGGTTGGGAGGTCAGGGAGCCTCTGAGTCCGAGGCTGGGCCCTGACACAGTGGCCATTTTACACACACATATATCCATATTATCTTTGCACTACTGGTGCCAAAATAACTAAGCAGACTTCATGGAGATGTTGTAAGCATGCTAGGGATATAACCCACCAGCAAACAGGAAAAGAAAGGGGGGCAAAGAGAATCTTACTACTGGTAAGGCCACACATGGTCCCGGTGCAAGAGCACTGTACTAATAAATTCTCTTAATCACTGTACTCATGCCAGGTCCTTCTTGGACAGTCATCAGGGAATCACACAGAACTTCTGCAAGGATTGCTCAACACCACAGTCTTTGTTGCACTGAAGGGGGGTCTGTCATATCCATACCAACTCCACCTCACCTCCGCTCTACTCCACCACACCTCCAGTCCACCTCTGGTCCATCCTCCCCCTGCACCTCCAGTTCACCTCCAGTTCACCTCCACCTCCGATCTCCGGTACCTTCTCTGGTACCTCTTATCCTCACCTTATACGTTTATTAATATTTCTACCTACCCAATATTACTATGGACCTCCTAGGACCTCTGCCCACTCCGCAAAGGTTTTCCCACTCTCCAGTAGCTGTCGCTAATTCCACCCTTCACCTACCCACTCCACAATGCTTGATAAGGCAATTCTCTCATGAGCTTGCTGACCTGGCAAGTGGGTAAGCCCCCCTTGGGTTTTCCCCTTCGTTCCCATTTGTCTTCTATTATGTATATAAGTCCTGTACTGTAGTTGATGGCACCTGAGTGCAAAATTGACGACCAGACTCCCCCCAGAGTTCGCACCCTCTTGTTCTGAAGTTAAGGACCAGACTCCTAAAGCGTTACTGAACATAGGCACAGCGCTGTAGGAGAAATAATGGTCACACTATGGAAACCCATTATGGAAATATGCCAGATAAATCACAAAACCCCATATGACAAGTAGATGAGGTAATAGAAGAACCTGAATTTTTACGAAATTTTACAATTATTACGACTACATACGATAAAATGGAAGAAAGAAAATTAGCAAAAATACTTCAAGCTTAGCATCAACAAGACGGAATTCTCGGGGGAATTTATAGCAAATGTTAACCCTAGAATTAGGACAATCGACCAAGATTTGACTATAAAAACAGCCAGAGAACCTCCACGGAAACTACTTTCCCACATCCACACACGTAGCCAAGGATGGAAGTACCACGGAACAAGGATTCCTCAGGAACTAATGCAAAATTCAAAGTCGTGTTTATAATAGGAAATGTAGATGTCCCCAAAACGGACCCAATGAAAGTAATTACAGGGAAAACTACCCATAAACGATGGAGATATGACTGAAACCCCCGGAAAACGAGGACAATGTTTAAAAAGCAAGCACGAAGAACAACCAGTAACGACCAAGACAAGCTTGATAGCCCATTAGAAAGAAAGGGATCTATTCTTAATCCACCCAAATTTTCATAATAAAAGGATCACGCATTAATGAGATATCCAATAACAGGAATAGCGACATCAAAAGTCCGGGCTCAGGGAAAAGATGATGTTTACGTAGGATCCATAATTAAAACATACAACGAAATTTACACGGAAATTATGAAAAATAGGAAACTATAGTTACGCAAATTTTCAGCCCAATGGTCCAGCCGTTGTGAAGTTATACCAACGACGGGAAAATAGAAATCCGCATCATGTTTAATGACACGTGAGGGTGGCAATGCTCCAGGAACCGGCCGTCGGAACCGAGATCCGCACTTGGCAGATCGCGAAGACCAATTTCCATCCAAATAAGGAAGAGCCCGGTCAAAACAAAGCACGGAAAGTGCAAAACAACCTTAGATCATGAGGGAAAAATCTGAAATAAATCACGGAAGCCCATATGAAGGATACAAACACCCGCACATACCATAAATCCCGAAAAATTAAACAGAAACAGTGCCCGCATACGAATGACTACGGGAACGATGCATGTGATTACCGAATGTGTGCACAAACTTTTGCTAACTCGACGAATACCAGGAAATAGAACACAACGTTAGTACCATTGGAAAGGTGGGAATAAATGAAAATTTATGATAACAAGAACGTAAAAAACCATCCAGAAATGAATGAGATACAAGGACATGAAGTTAGAAACCTGAAAACGCGTGGGAAGACAGCTTCAAGAGGTCCAGAGCCCTAAATAAAATACATAAAAATATGATATCTTCGAGGACGACCTACTATAACAATGAACAACACATATGGAGGATTAGGATGTGATAATACAAAGGGGAATCAGGGGAGATGAACAAAAACCATGAAAACCACTAAACTACGATGGACCATGGCAGGAATTTTAGGGGAGGATATTCTAATGAAGTGGAGAGCTATAATACATTCGCTTGAGTAATTCTTGACTACTAGCAACCTTTTCTTTCGGTTCTAAACCTGAATAATTCACTCATTTACCATTTCAAGTCTCATTTTAACTAATGTCACTGGATAAAAATGGAATAAATCAGCTGAAGGTCTCAGCGCAGCCGTATGCATAGTAATGCGAAGTTTGAATTCAGAATCATCGAGTCATAGCGATTTTAATAGTAAATATGAGGAATTTGAAATAGGAAACTGTGACAAATGCAGCACAGTCAAGTTCTAATTATAACCATTAAAATAGTTTAGGCAAGGAAGGACAATAAGGATTCTAGGCACAGTCTGACTGCAGTAGAGCCGCAGTTCAGCGCAGTAGAACTATAGCGTGAAAATTTCATTTTTTATTCAGTTTGAGAAAAATACACTGTAAATAAATCCTGTAAATACGAGGTAGAGCGTGAAAAAGGAAGGCGACCCAAGGAGTATAAAAGGGAGACCCTTTCTGCAACTTTTCACCCCCCTCAGAGAAGTAAGAAAATAGAGTATTATTTTTCTCAAGCATTTCTGGTTGTCACTCCAGTGCGAAAAAGTGATATACAGTGAAGGTTGCCACTGTAGCAAAAGGCAGCAATTAAGGAGAGAAATATTAAGTAGATATTTCAACAGGAGAGCTGGTTAACACTCCAGATTTCAAAGTGTAAACACAAAACAGTTATTTTGCTACTGTTAAAACAAGCAATAAAATAAGACAAAAATAAAAACAAACTCAAGGGACACTCCAGACACAATCTAAATCATTAACTGAGTAGAATCTTTGAAACTTCACCAAGTAGAAGATTTCATTCAAGTTAAAAATCCAAATTAAACGATCCTACACAGAATTACACCCAGACAAATTGAGAAATTGCAATAAAGGAACAGCTCCGCAGGGCTTTGTTTATCTGTAAGTCAATTCCCAGAAACTTTTAGACTAACCCATAAAAATAGAATTAGCCAAAACACTCAGATTGGTACTATAATTACAACAAATATTACTAGTACACTTCCCCATCCTAAGTAAAGAACCAGGGAACAGCTTGGTGGTGGTCTTGTTTGAACCTCCCAACTGACCTTCCTTCGTTCTCTCCTTCAGCACTCCTCTCCGAGTTGCTGAGGCTGCAGTCCTTCTGCCTGTTCTCTACCACTGGCCTCCTTCCGGGGAAAGGTCCAGGAACACTGCCCTCCTCACCATGTATCTGACAGGGTCCAACAACTGTAAGTACAATGCAAACTGGGTGTAAGAAAAATAAGTGGTAGATGGTGGCGATGGGAACAGGAGGAATGTTAGCAGCTTGGCTAAAGGACAATAAGGCAAGTGACAATAAAATGAATAAATGAACCCATGAAGTCAATATCAACCATCAATATCGCTTCTCCACCGCGTATCTGTCGCCCTAACTCCCGTACCATTATTTTATCCTCTTCTCCTGATCCGTCGCTGTCCTTCAAGCTCAAAATCGTGTGATTTGGTGGAAAGTTGGTGGAGATATAACTGAAATGGTGGATAACTGTGAAATTTGGGGAAGTGGCAACATGAGTCTTGAGAAAAAAGCATGGAAAAAATAAAATAAAATGTGGAGCTGTTCCGTGGGCATTGGGACTATGTCGGAAGCTTGAGGGCGCTCGTTGGAGTCTCGAAAAACGCGATTCTGGCCTCATTTGTGCAGTACTTGCTGTGCCCTCCTACAACATGAAGACCATCCATTATTTAAAAACAAAAAGCTCTATGAGCTCACCCTCATAGAGCTCATGGAGCTTTTCAAGGAATGAAATCCCCCCAGAGATCATGCCCTCCTTCTTAGAAAGTTAAGGGCCATATGCTGATAAAGAATGTAGGCACAGTGCTCTGCCACAAGTTGCTGCAAGTGGGCTAGTAATCTAGCCTCCAAATGCATACAAATTCATGGGGAAGAAGTCTGTGATGTCCATGGGTCATCCTGGGTTTGGTCTGGGTGCTAAAAAAAAAACAATCACAAAAACTCCTTAAGATTTTACATGGGGTTTTTGGGTCTTCATATTTACATATCATGTGATGTTGTACTGAACATAGCCCATAAGAGGCTGAAATTCTATAACAGTTTGGTTCTTGGTTCAGTCCCAGTTCAAATCAGTTCTCTGAGAACCATGGCAACCCTAGTCATATCCAATGGGTGGTCCTGGATCACTTTCAACATATGCATATATGCCTTTAAAATACCTCATTCCTGGTTATTGATGTGCAAGAGGCAAGAATGAATTAGAAGCACCTGCACATGTGAGGTCACTACATGTATTAATCAACTCACATGTTATTGATAATGTGCCAGTGAACCAGAACTGTTAGGAGGATTATTTTTCACTCTTCAAAGACTGGGAAAATACCAGGATCTCCTATAAACCCTCTGAAGAATGCCCCCCCCCCCCCCCCTTCTCCTTACTCTAGGCATTTTGCTTGAGATAGAGGTTAGAATTTCTCGATTCATGTGGCTGGTTCATCTATTCATACAACAGCCCATAACAGTTGACTGGCCTTCACAATGCGATGCTGGAATACCTTGGTTCTAATCACTATACTTCCAATTGTCATGGCTGAGTTTCATGTTGGAATAGCTGCTTCAGCAAAGAAAAAGTCCCCTGGCCTTGGTGCATCAGGTGGCCAGGCTTGGGTGTATATGGTTATCCTCCCAGCACCAAATGGTGAGCTGAGCTCAGAAATGAAAATTTCTCTGGTTTCATGAATTTTTGTCTCAACAGCTGGTTGCCGTGAGGCAAATAGGTGGAAACACCAGGTTCCTGTGGAGGCCATCCCCTTTGGTTCACCATTGAGCACTAAAATTTGCAATGTTTCCATTACAATTTCCTATCAGCTTGACAGCTGGACCGACTCTAATGGAACAAGTGGAGGGTGCCACCCAGTTTATTCAGGACCTTCAGGTGGCTGGTATGCACACTTTGCAACATGTGGTTTTGCATCTAAGGAGGGGATTTACTTTGAAGCACGCCGGTGCCCCTCATATGTGTGTGAAGGCATGCCACCTTAGTGACCAACTAAGAGGAGGGCTACAGTAATTTGCCTCTGAAATGAACAGAAATTCAAGCACAAAGCACTCAATCTATTAGGGATGTTCACAGCACTCACAACTTGGGAAAAACAACTAAGTCACAAGAATGCCAAAACTCACCACTCTTGGGTGACAACTTTTGAGTAAGTTTTGAGTGCAGTACAAGGGAATTCACTGTCAAAGAAGCATGTCAAGAACATGCCAGGGTGGGATGTTGGATTGAGCATAATGAAGTCCAGGTGAGGGCCAGAGACACATCTGGAGGTGGGGTGGGGCTCCAGGGGTGATGAAGGGACTCACTTCAGTAGCTTGGAGGGAGCACTGCACCTGCTACATCCTTAGTGTTCCCAATTTGCTGCTGTTGGAAATACATGTATATACATTTTTGGACCTGTGTTTTAATCTTAGCAGTCTACTGTCATCTGGTCTTACCCTGGCCTCATTGTGGCCTCATCCCTATGGTTCTCTATATTTGTGAGGGGCTGGTGTTAGAAATGGTTCTGGAGGCAGATGTGGAGACTCAATAAAGGAGGGACCTTGTCCTCAGTGACTCAGGTGGAGTGCTGTGCCACTGCTTGTTGTTGGTGGGTCCTTTTCAATGCTATGGAGGCTGTCTTACTAGGGGAGCTTGGGGACATCTTGTGAGAGGGGACAAGGACAAAGGGAATCAGAAGGGGACAAAGGGAAGTCTGGATGAAGGAACAACACCTTAGGGTCAAGGGTTTGACTCTATGGTGCTTCCCAAGAATGGATCAGGAGAGAGGCCCAAGAGGAAGGAGGGAGGTTTATAATGGGGAATGGCTAACTGACTGAATTGGAAGGAAGCAATAGCAATAGGAACAAGGGAATAGGTGGGAGTGAATGGGACAATTCAGTAAGGCTGCAGGGTTCAGAGGTAATGGAGGTAATGGAGGTGGAGTTGGAAGTTCATGTCACATCCTCCCACATCCTTACACTTCTACTGCAGTCATCACCATACTGTCAGGGCACATCCCCAGACCCAGAGATGCCATGCCTGGTATTTCCTATGCAGGTATTAAGTTGAGAAGAAGGGTAACCTTCTGTTAGATACACAGATCCTGAATGTCAAACATGCCAATTCCAATGCAGATGTAAGCTCAACTAGGGGGTTCCAGGATGCTAGGTAGTGGTCCTGTTAGAATGGGGTGAGTGTGGACGATTCCGGAGTGGAACCAGAGACTTAGCAAGGAGGGACCTTGGTGTCAGGGCTCGGTCCTCGATCAGGGACAGCCCGACCTCAGTCCTAGGTGTGTGCGGTGTTCCGGGTGGTTGGGCGCTAGACCCTGTCCTCAGCTCCTCAAACTCACTGAAGGGACTAAGCGGGGATTGAGTTGAGAAGAAGGGTAAGTTTCCCTATTCCCCGCTTGGCTACTATAAAAAGGAAGTGTACTGTACAGTTCATAACGTGACTCTGGGTAGAAGCCGAGCATGTTCCCGCAACTTGGAAAAGGTGTCACATGGGTTAAGGCGAGTTGCTCGCCTTAACCCACGTGATTTTTCCCGCGGGCTCACATGCGGGCTGAAGTTGTGAGAGGTATGTAGGGATGGGGAGGTCTGGGAAGTGGGGGAAGTCTGGGAAGGTGGTTCTGGGGTGTGGTTGGGTGCCCTGACAGCGGGGTCAGGGGCCGATCCCTGACACTTGGCCTCAGCAACTCATGCAGAGTGCTGTGCCATTGCTGTTTGTCCATTTGGTCCTTAATTTCAGAAGCAGTGAGTGGGAAGTCTCTAGGGGGCATTTCTGGTCGACTTTAGACTGAAGGTCCAAAATGAGTATGTACAAGTGCCTGTATATACTGGAGAGACAAAAGCACAAGGAAATTAAAGGGGGTCCAAATCGGAACAAAGGCGTCCAAACGGAGACAAAGGGATGACGGAAATGGAGCAGTACCAAAGGTCATGGGTTAGACTCTGCAGTACAACTGAAAGGAGGTAGGGAGGGTGAAGCCCAGAGGGGCAGGAGGATGAGGTGAAGTGGGGTTGGTGACTAACAGGCTAAAATGGAAGGAAGCAGTAGTCCAAATAGGGATGAGGGGAAAGTGAGAAAGATACATTACAAGCGGTGAAAGTTCCAGGTATGGTCCATGGAGCTTGGAGGTTGTGGAGCTTACAGAGGTTGCAGAGGTGGGGTTGGAAGTCCAAGAAATGTTGGCAATGGTGTTTACATAGAATGAGGTCACCAATGCAATGGACTTAAGCCGAGGTGGAGTCAAAGTCTGAGGTCGGGGACATGACAGGATCTCGGAGTGAAGGTATGAACGGTGTCTGAGTACAGGGTACAGGACTGTGGCAGAAGGTTGTAACTTTGGCAGAGGTTGGCAGAATAGGGTCAGAGGGAGGAGAGTGACAAGAGGTGTGGCAAGAGGTGTGGGATGAGAGGTGTCACGTCCAAAGGTGGGTATCGGAGCAGACAGAGGTAAGGTAGGACTCAGGGGGGTGCTGAGTGGAGGGTCTGGAAGTTGGTTCGGGATCGGGTGGGTACAGATATAACAGACCTTGGCCTCAGCAACTCAAGGGGAGTCCTTAATTTCAGACATAGTGAAGAGGAAGTCTCCAGGGGGCTTTTCTGGTCGATTTAGACCAAGGGTCTAATCGAGTATGTACAAGCACCTGGTATATATAGGGAGATGAAAGCACAGGAAATCAAAGGTGGTCCGAATTGGAACAAAGGCATCCAAATGGAATAACAGAAGCGGTGTGGTGCTGAGGGTCATGGGTTAGACTCTATGGCACATCTGAAAGGAGGTAGGCAGGGTGAAGCCCAGAGGGGCAGGAGGATGAGGTGAAGTGGGGTTGATGACAAACTGGCTAAATGTAAAGAAGCAGTAGTCCAAATAGGGATGAGGGAGAAGTGCAGAATGTATACTACAAGCGGCGAAAGTGCCAAGATCGGTCTGTGAAGCTCAGAGGTGACAGAGCTTATGGAGCTTATGGAGATGGAGATGGAAGTCCAAAGAATATTGGCAATGGTGTTTACGTAGAATGAGGTCACCAATGCAATGGACTTAAGCTGAGGTGGGGTCAAAGTCTGAGGTCGGGACCATGATGGAATCTCGGAGCGAAGGCACAAGTGGTGTCTGAGTATGGGGTAGAGCAGCAGATGAGTGGGATGCGATAGATGTCCTGGAGGAGGTTTGGATTCGAGGACTTAAGACTTTTATTATAACTGGGGGAACTATTTACTGGAGGGGTACACATGTACATATATCAGCAACAATTGGATCCGAAGGTAAACAAAGGTTACCAAGGGGAAGGAGAAGTACATAGAAAAGAATCCACAGGACAAATAAGGAATAGGCAAAAAGGCCAAATTACGTCTGAGGTTTGTGGAGTGGAAGAATTAAAAACCAACTGAATGGCAAGGCCTGGACCTGTCTAAGAATAAGCAGGGGACTACAGAGGAAGATGTCCAGAAAGGTCCGGAGCATGGAAGTTGTAGTCCGGAAGATTGGGGTTGTAGAAAATATCAAATGATAAAACAATAAAGATTATCAAGACCGGAGGTGTGGAGACCAGAAGTAAGAAGGAGGGTGGATAGGCAAGTTGAGGTTTACTGTTAAAAACCCGGGTTGTGGAAGAGGGGATAAATGCGTGAGTCCGAATGCAGGTGGGGCTCAACTAGGGGGGGGTCCGAGGGCTCCGGTAGTGAACTGAAGCTTCTCAGGGAGCCCGGTTCTGCTGGATGGTACAAGAGGCTCTAAGAAGGACGCGGCCTCAGCAACTCGGAGGGAGCGCTGTGCCTCCGTTACATCTCAGTTAGTCCTTGTATTTCTTATGTCTGAGGTGTCTTGTAGAACGGGGACGGGAATCACTCAGAGGGACTTTGGGTGGCATTTTAGTCGAGATTAGAACTGAGGAACTACAGGTTCTAATCTATGTGTATTTAAAAGGAGGATGGGGAGGACTTTAGTCAAAGTCCGAAATGACAAAATGGGAAAACACCGAAAGGTACCGAATGATACCGAGAGGTACCGAAAGGTCCCGAACGATATCTAAACGGGGAACCGAGGTGTCGGGCCAAGGAGGGCGGAGTTGGAGGCCGGAAAATGAATGGGGAAGACAAATGGGTAAAGGGGGTTAGCCGACTGGATGGTAGTAAAAAGGTAGTCGTGCTAAGAATGGAAGGTGACTAATAAATGATAACGTGAGGGAGATCACCGAAGGATGCGGGTAGCTCCGAAAGCGGAGTTGCGTATCCAAAGGATGTTAGGTGACTCAAATAAATGAAATGGGTGGAGGAAGGGTTTAAGGGCATGTCACGGGATATCGGAGGTCCGTCGGGGTATCGGAGCAAATCCGGGGTCTCCGAATGTTCCGACTCGGGACCGAGTTTCCGGGATGGGAGTGGCCAAGGTTCGGTGTGCCGCAACCAGACCGGAGCTGAGACAGTAGGAAGGAAGGTGACTTGGGGAGTGGGGAGGCATGGTGTAGGGGATGGTGAAGTTGTTAGGAAGGTGTGGTGTGGTGGGAGTGCGCGGGGTCGGGATTCCGGGATATGACATTTACCAACAATGAGCAGGTCCATCTCCTTTGAACAAGAGGTCTGAGGAGGTGGAGGTGTGGTAGCGGAGGTCCAGAGGTGATGCGGATGTAGATGGGAGGTAGAGTGGGAGAGAGTCAAAGGAGGAGGTAGTCCTAGGGCCCTTGGCATTGACCAGAGGCAGCAGTGTCACGACCCGACATACCTGTCACTTCCATCAATGCGTCCTAGTGCCACTTGGCCCGTCCTGCCCGCTATCATCATCATCCATCCACCTGTCACCCTCATCCACACTTCCTCCCCTGTGCATGTACCTCCCAACCTAGGTTTTGTCACTCATTGTTCTTGCTTGCCTTTTGTTGACCAAGTTTTCCGATATTAACTATTTGTCTCTTTCTTCATTCATTAATATTGCGCTTGATCTGCCACTCCTTCCGGGCCAGTCCTATTTAGTTACTTGTGTTTATAACACGTGTAGGTTATGTCATATCCGTGCATACCCGACCCCGACCCGACTTCCGGACCTCCACCCTCTTCACCTCCGGAGTCATAACCTACCGCTGCTGTTCTGATACTCACCCTCGGTCCTGGCAACACACCTCCTCCTTACCTCTCCGACCCTATCTCCGTCCGCTCCGATACTCATCTCGGACCGAACACCGCCCCTCTTGCCACCCTCCTACTACTCCGCTCCCCCTTCACAACACCTCCACCCTCCCGTCATCCTCCTACACTTCCCCCATCCGCTCCAATACTCACCTTCGGACCTGACTACTCTTCTTTCCGCCACTCCTTCTCCCTTACCTTTCCCCTCTCTCCTCCCTCTGCTACTCCTCCGCCACCCTTCCGCCAAGTTACGACCTTCCACCGCTGTTCCGTACTTCGCACTTGGACACCGCTCGTACCTTGCTCCGAGCCTCCGTCATAGTCCCTACCTCGGACTTTGACTCCACCTCAGTCTTAGTCCATTGCATTGGTGACCTCATACTACGTAAACACCATTGCCAATATCCCTCGGACTTTCAACCCCGCCTCCGTAACCTCTGTAACCTCCGTAACCCCCAAGCTTCGCAGATCGCCTTCGGCACCCTCGCCGCTTGTAATGTATTTCTCGCATTTTCCCCTCATCCCTATTTGGACTACTGCTTCTTCCTATTCTAGCCAGTTAGTCATCATCCCCACTTCCCCTCATCCTCCTGCCCCTCTGGGCCTTGCCCTCCCTACCTCCTTTCGGATGTATCACAGGTCCTGCCTTATGACCTTCGGTACCGCTCCGCTTCTTCTACCCTTTGTTCCCGTTCGGACGTCTTCGTTCCGATTCGGTTACCCTTTGTTCTCCTTGTGCTTTTGCCCCTTCCATTATATATATCGGCGCTTGTACATACTTGTTTTGGTTTAGTCCGAAATCGACCTGAAATGCCCCCAAGAGACTTCCTGCTCACCTACTGTGAAATTCAGGACCAAATGGACAAACAGCAATGGCACAGTGCTCCGCTTGAGTCGCTGAGGCCAAGGTCCCTCCACACTAAGTCTCCGATTCCACTCCGGAGTCGTCTGTTTCCGCCCGGTTCTAACAGGTTACACCAGATGTACCTCAGTTCATATATTGACTTGGATTCCCCCTCTAGACTCCTCTCCTCATCATAAGGCTTCTGTCTGAAATTGGGACACCAACGTAAGAACAAAGTGCAGCACTCCACCCAAGTGTCATATCCATACAATCCCGACCTCCGCTCCGGGCTCCTGGAACTCCGAACTCCGACTTCTGGAGCCCTACTTCCCTTCCATCACTTTCTCCTTGCCGACTCCCAAGAGGTTATCCCACCCCCGGCTCAGACACCACCTTCGGTCCGACTCCGGAACATTCCGGGTCCGACCCCAACCTCGACACCTTCCAGACGAGTACACAAAACCTATGCTCCCGACTCCGGACCTCCGCTCCGGCATCCCGTTCACATCTCGTCTCCGGAACCTCCGGTCTTAGCTCCGACCTCGGACTTTGACCCCACCTCCGCTTATACCCATTGTATTGGTTAGCTCATTCCATTTAATTACCTTTGCCAATATTCCGGAGTTTAACCTCCGAGTTCGGACTTTCCGGACTTACTCCGGACCTTGCAACTATTGCATTGTCCATTTCAATTCCGCTATTCTCCCTCATTCTTATTTGGGCTGCTGCTTCCTTTCTATTCAGTCAGCTAGCCATTCCCGACTCCCATCCTCCTTCCTTCCTTCTTGGGCCTTGGCCCTTCATTCCTCCTTTGGGAAACACCATTGAGTCAAACACTTGACCCTCGGTGTTGTTCCTCTTTCCATCTCCCTTTGTCTCCTTTTGTCCTACCCTTGTTCCTTTTGATTCCGGACCCCTCCTTATATACAATGTACCTAGTAACTTGTAACCTCAGTCCGAAATCGACTTGAATTCCCCCAAGAGACTTCCCCTCTGCTAGATCCGAAATTAGGGACCCCCAGGACAACCAGCAATGGCACAGCGCTCCGCCTGAGTCGCTGAGGCCGAGGTCCTTCCACGCTAAGTCTCTGATTCCATTCCGGAGTCGTCCGAATCCCTGCGTTCTAACACCAAGTCACTAAAGCTAAAGTCCCACCCCTCTGACCTTACGAGCCCGGACGACTTCGCGCGCCTTGCAGGTCACCCGGATACGTGTCTGACACGTTCCTGACAGTATATACGAACTCAAATCGCTCTTACGTTCTTTCCTTGCTCTATCATTGTTTCACTGAACTATGTCTAGAGCTTATCAGACCCGTTCACAGATGCGCACCGAACCTGGTTCTTCTAGGCTTCCAGGTCTCGGGACACTTGAAGAACTTCTGTGCAGACATGATCTAGACCCTTCTGAACGTCTGCCATTCCAAAGCTTTACAGCCGACCGTGACATCCCTACCTCCTCCACTCCAGCACCCTCCCATCGATTTCGTTGTTCAATATTCCAAGACCATGACAAGGCTGCTGTTGAGAGAGACGTCGACCCACATAGCCAAGCTGATAACCATGATTCCGAAGCTTCTTGTAACCCTACTCCACGTCCTGACCCCGCCAATCCTCTGGACCTGCCAGATGTCCCACCCAACTGTGGTGATGGTGGTGGTGATGGTGATGGTGGTAATGGTGATCCGCCCGATGACCAGCTGCCAGACAACCCTGGTAGCCGTGTGTTGGCCCAGTTGACAGACGCTATTGCCACCCTGGCCCGTTCAACCACTGCTGCTCGTCAACCCCCAGACCCCACTTCGTGAGCCTGACCAATTTGACGGTACTGACCCTCAGAAACTCCATACCTTCCTTGTTCAGTGCGAACTCAACTTCCAGAACCGCCCCCAAGCGTTTGTCAACGAGCGTACCAAAGTCATCTATGCCACATCATTCCTCAAGGGGATTGCTCTGAGTTGGTTCGAGCCTGAACTTCCCCACGGCAACCCACGTTGCTGTCCACGTTGGATGGACGACTATGAACTCTTCGTCCGAGAACTCGAAGAGAACTTCGGCCCACACGACCCATTTGGTGATGCTGAACGTCGTCTAAGTACCCTGACCATGTCGGATAATCACAGAATCGCCAAGTACGTCGTCGAGTTTAATCGCAATGCTTCACAGTTACCTGGATATGGTGAGGTTGCCTTGAGGCACCATTTCTATAATGGGTTGCCAGATAGGATCAAGGATGAGATCACTCGTTATGGTAAGCCATGCTCGTTGCATGACATGCGCTCTCTTGCCCAAGATATCGATGGACAATACTGGGAGCGCAAGGGCGAGTTGTCGCACTGTCCAAGAGATCGAGCTACCTCACCCGACTCCTCCAAGCAGAACGCGAAATCGGGCAAGAACCTGAAGTACTCTAAGTCCTCCAACCCTCCTGACTCCACGTCCGACCCCTCCACTTCCGCTGATCACTCTACCAAGGACCCTAAAAAGTCTAAGGGAAAGCAACCCGACTCTGATCTGTCCTCAAAGCTTGACAAGAGTGGCAAGCTCACCAAAGAAGAACGCCAGCATCGCTTTGAGAACAACCTCTGCCTCTTCTGTGGGTGCTCTGGGCATGTGGCCAAAGAGTGTCCTAAGTCCTCCTCCCATGCAGCCAAAGCTAGGGCAGCCCAGGCTGAGGATGTCGCGGATTCTGTGGTGGATTCGGACGAGGAAAAAAACTAGATAGTGACCCTCCGGGCCCCGTACGACCGGTTGGTCACACTGACCCTCCTCATACGTCTAGAGTCCTGCGCTTGAATGCGTCTGGACTATCCGCTCTTCATTCTCTTTCTGTTCCGATCTCTTTTTCTCCTTGTTCTTGTCAGAGACCAGACTTGAGACGAAAGAATGTCTCCGTAACGGAGGGCTTCAGCCTCAGCGACTTCTGCCAGGAGCGCTGTGCCTAGTGACACGTCCGTGCCCTAACTTACTGACTGGCAATTAGAACCTAGGGGGGAACTCTAGTTGATTTTTCTACTGGGGTGTAACCTATGTACAAGTGGGATATATATATGGTTACAGCGGAGACAGTTCCGCAATTGGCGGAGCCGAACGGAGCGGAGCTAACGGGGTTTAACCATTAGCCGACTGAATATTACCGACGAGTCGGTTCATGGGGTTAGCGGAAAGGCAGGCGATAACCCAGAAACGGAAAGGAGGGATAAGCCCGAAGGTGGACTCTGCAGGGCAGGTGAGTGTATTGCTCAGCGGAGGTGGGGGTGCGCTAGCGGACGTCGGAGCTGTCCGGAAGTCTTCGGGGCTCCGTACTTAGGGAGGCATAGGTAATAAATTGGAATGGGGGGGTGGTGACCATCGAGGGGTACCAAGAGGATTGCGGAATAACGGGGGCTCCGAGGTTAGTGAGGGAGGAGCGGAGTTGGAACGGAGGAATCAGAGGGACCGGAAGTCGATGGCCGGGAATGGATATGACAGTTCTGATGATGGTCGATTTCCAACTTGAAGGGAGTGTGCTCCCGGCTCTGATCTGCTTTCTGCTTCAAGGGAGAATGCTCCCGGCTCTGCTCTGTTTCCTTCTTCCGGGGGGTCTGAACCCCGTAAAAATATGTCTTTTCCTTCTTCTCTTCCGTCTGGAAAATTCTCTGCTCTTATTGACTCAGGATCTTCTGACACATTTGTAGATACATCCTTCGTCAATAAACACCACATCTCCACGTACCCTGTC